GCGGCTTGACGTTTGCGAGGCACTACACATCAAGAAGTCAACACCAGCAATCAACAGCCAATTATTGCACAACTATATTCTACCCACCTCAAGACTCCGCTCCAATATAGAAGCATCAAGAAATATGGACCAATAGGCTTTCTACAAACACTTCTATTCAATACCCATTGTTTGTGTTCTGTCTTGTGTTGATACTTTTAATACCCTATTAATATCCCCTCTTGTTCTGTCTTGTGTTAATGCCACATCACCCCTCCCACCTCACTCAAATGTAGATATAAAATCGGAGATACGTAAGTTCTATTCAGTTGTGTATTTGTGAACTAAAGTCTTTGAAAATGTAATAAGTTTTACGAAACGCGCCCGTGTCGCGTCAGACTAGAAATAAAAATGAATTTTGGAGAATTAATTTTTGATTTACCTCCAACAGTGAAGCGTAATGTACGAAAGATTGAGAAAATTCGTGTTAGAATTATTAATCTTACTTTTTCGGTCATATTTAATAATATATGTCTACAGGAAAGACTGCTACCAAAATATAATATATATATATATATATATATATATATATATATATATATATATATATATATATATATATATATATATATATATTGGTTCACCCGAGAATGGTCTTACGTTGTTTCTTTCAATATAGTATGCCTTGTCCGACGGCCCGTTTTCTATTTGACAGACCCTCGTTTTCTCCGATTTGGACAACACAAATAAAATTCTTGCTATTATTCCCCTTATAATTTATGCAAGATTTGCAAGAGTTTCTCCCTTGAGTGCATTATCTCGTCTCCTTTTTAATACCATTTAGCCTATACACACATATATGTGATCTCTGCCTTCTCACGTTCCACTATACCTGGGGTGGCTTGGTCACAACCATGGCATCACCCTAACAAGAGAAATGTTGAATAAAAATACTTGCATAATATACACAACTCAGGATGTAAGAACATTACAAATTTTTTAAGTCATTCGTATAAAAGCCGAACAACCCGTCATAAATACCCAAATAACAGAACTATTCACTCTACCCGCCATGTTAGGCTGCACCGTGAGAGTGAGAAAAAGGAGTCCACTACGGGCTCACCATAGCCCGTGCTACTTGCAGCTTTTTGATCCTGGTAGCGAATCTTAAACAACAAGAGAGTGAGAACATGACCGCAACACCAAGATGCCAACCTTTCTTCCTATTGGGGAGTGTTGTACATGCTGCTATGGCGGTATATCCACTCACAAGATGAGTGGCGCTGCCCAATAAACTCGCCCCTCGGGGCAAAATTTAAATTGCTCACACCGCCACGCGCACTACACCTGTTTATTTATTTATTTATATACAAGACGGTACATTGGGGATTAACAGAGAATATAGAAATTGAGTTGATTTTACATAATCTTCACATGTGCTTCCTCCTTTTTTTCCCCGCTGTATTCATCCCCATTTACGTCTCCCATTAATCTCCTATTCTTCCCCCCTTTACGTCGTACTCCTCACCTATTATGTTCCTGACCCCCCTAATGGTATAATTCCAATACAGTGCCAATATATATATTACAGGCAAATTATGCCCGTGCCACCTCTTGGGTGGCTTAATCTTCATCAATATATATATATATATATATATATATATATATATATATATATATATATATATATATATATATATATATATATATATATATATGCAGGCGATGATCATATGGCTGAAGTATGTTGACCAGACCACACACTAGAAATTGAAGGGACGACGACGTTTCGGTCCGTCCTGGACATTCTCAAGTCGATTCAAGTCAATCGACTTGAGAATGGTCCAGGACGGACCGAAACGTCGTCGTCCCTTCAATTTCTAGTGTGTGGTCTGGTCACAGTATATACAGGATTATATACAACATTCACAGAAAACGAAACAAATAATGTTCCTTAATACGTAAATATTTTCAAATTTATAAATTTAAATTAATAAATTAATCAAAATTGTATAAATAAAACTATAATTAAATAAGAAGTTAACAGTAATCATTCAATTTCCACTATATATCAGTTCTAAATTTTCTTGGAAATGTAATATTTTGAACTAAAAAAAATATCAACCACGGTCTAGTAAATTACTTTAATTAATATAATTCCAAAATTTAAAGGTCCCGGCAATACAGTCGGGTTCGTTTTCGACTCAATCAAGAATTGGGGTTCGAATCCTGGGCAGGACAAAAATGGTTGGGCGCATCTTCTATCACTGAATGAACCTGTTCACCCAGCAGTAAGTAGGTACCCAGGAGTTAATCAGCTAGTTGTGGGGTCGTATCCCGGGCGGGGTCAGTAATTGGACCTTCCCCATCATTCGACAATAATCTAAGGGGGGGGGGGAAACCAACATACAAGCCTAACCTGTATAAATACACTCTGGCTGCCTGTCCCCCCGACATAATGAATTAAGATTAAGGCAATTATATAATCAGTAAATATCTTCAGTAAACACCTTTTTATGTAGATATTTGATGTCGCACAAGTGACAACTTCCTGGGAAGAAAAACAGCCGTATCCATGTTCCCGAAAATGAGTAAAATGCTTCTGCAAAAAAAATAATGACAAGTTGGTGTCAACAATTTAGTATAGTTTATAGAATGTGATGTTCATTGGTTGTGGTCTTATGGTTTATCAACTTGTTGGGGTCATGAAGACCATCACAACACCTTACTCACTAACCACCAAGTCCTGACATAGTCCACAACAGTGTCCAGGACTCACATTACTCTCAGTGTACATACACCAAGTGGGCGACACCTCTCATTGTACACACACACACACACACACACACACACACACACACACACACACACACACACACACACACAAATGGCTACTACAGTTCAACCCGAGTAAATGTAAGGTAATGAAACTAGGCGGCGGAAACAGGAGGCCAGACATTTGATACCGAATGGGAGATGAAGTCGACGAATCTGGAAAAAGTTTAGAGGTATGCCACTAGACTAGTCCCAGAAATAAGAGGCATGAGTTATGAGGAAAGGCTGCGTGAGATGCACCTCGCGACACTGGAAGACAGAAGAGTAAGGGGAGACATGATCAATACCTACAAAATTTTCAGAGGAATTGACAGGGTAGATTTACTGTTATAGAATAGATAAATTGTTTAACACGGGTGGTACGCGAACAAGGGGGACACAGGTGGAAACTGATTACGCAAATGAGCCACAAAGACATTAGATTTTTTTCAGTGTCATAGTTAACATATGGAATGCATTAGGCAGTGATGTGGTGGAGACTGACACCATGCACTATTTGTAATGTTCTGGAATGTGGCATCAGAGAAAATAGACCACACACAACTTACAAATTATGTGGAAAGTAATGCCAGAACTCTAATAAAGAAGGAGACCTAGAGGAGGTGGTTTTAGATACATTATAATCGGGGATAAGTTTATAACACTCAAATAACAGTCAGAATAAAGAGCACAGCTGCCAGGAAAGCCGATCAGCTATGGGAAGTTCTTAGCAGCAGGATGGGGGCTGGAACCAGCGACCCGGGTCGCCCAAGACAGTCTACAGCCACTCAGGCCGCTGGTGTTGGCCAGTAAACTGTCGCCAGAGGAACACATAAACAACATTGTGAGAGGAGCCTTTGTGTCGCTTTCCAACCTCACACTTGTTATTAATTACATGACTGGTGAAGTACTGAAGAAACTGGTCATGACGTATGTGAGACCAAAACTGTAATATGCAGCAGCTGTATGGCGCCCATACAGTCTCAAGAAGCACATAAAGAAACTGGAAAAGGCGCAGCGGCATGCTACAAAATGGCTTCCGGAACTGAAAAACTAAGAGTTACGGGGAGAGATTAGATGCGTTAAACATGCCAAAACTAGAAGATAGAAGAACAAGAGGTGAAATGATCACCACTTACAAAATACTAACAGGAATCAACCAACTTGACAAAGAGCAATTCCTGAAACCAGCAACTTCACGAACAACAGGACACAAACTCAAGATAAGGAAACACAGTTGCCGAAAAAATATTAGAAAGTTTTCTTTTGCAAACAGCGTGGTAGACGGTTTGAACAAGTAAGATGAGAAGGTGGTGGAGGCTAAAACCGTCAGTAGTTTCAAAGCGTTATACGACAAAGAGTACTGGGAAGACGGGACACACACACACACACACACACACACACACACACACACACACACACACACACACACACACACACACATACACACAGAGAAGCGGGCTGCACTTCTCACTGTATACATACACCCATACCATCACTGGGTGGTGGGTGTACTCTTATCGGGTTAAACGGTTCTAATCAATTAGATTACAAGTAATGGTTGTAACAAAATATAACACTTCTATAAGAAATAATATGTGTAATTTCACACACTAAGCCATTATGAAAGACTACACCATTAAAACCCTTTAAGCTTTGGACCAGTACACAAGTGAATAACAATGACAAAACATGAAACATACAGCTCTTAAAATAAATATATTTACATATACTGTATCGTTATCAAGGCTCGGAATCACTACTTATCACCCCTCGTGTAACCTTCTAGACTCATTAACAATAACATTATAACGTTGTCTAGTAACTAGCCAACGTCACTAGAGTGTATCAACACAGATACACACAACAGATATCAACAACTCTCCCTTCCTTACCAGATATGACTTTAGGCATAACAATAAATATTACAATTAAATATACAAAACATTTCATTTTAAAGGTGAATAAAGTATATGATAATATTATAACTACAAGGTAAATTATATTTTATATATGATATGATATTCTGGGGACAGATTCACGAAAGCACTTACGCAAACACTTACGAACCTGTACATCTTTTCTCAATCTTTGGCGGTTTTGTTTACAATTATTAAACAGTTAATGAGCTCCGAAGCACCAGGAGGCTGTTTATAACAATAACAACAGTTGATTGGCAAGTTTTCATGCCTGTAAACTGCTTAATAAATGTAACCAAAGCCGTCAAAGATTGAAGAAAGATGTACACGTTCGTAAGTGCTTGCGTAAGTGTTTTCGTGAATCTGGCCCCTGGACTTGAGGAATATTGAGGCAGCTCAACAATGTACGGTATCAAGCCATCACCGTTCTCTCTCTCCTTCACCATGTTAAACTATTTTATTTCAAGAACTGGACTAAACGCTGCCTATTTATAGGCATAATATTTATTTATATTTTTATTTTAACATCATTTATAAATTTAATATATAATAATTTTAATCTATTATTGATAAATATAAAATAATGAGTCATAACAATTATGAGGTTATTATAAAAACTTGCATTAAAATCTACGTAAGTTTTTATTTGTATTTTTGTGAGACTTTAATAATTGGAAGAGTTGAAGTTTTTACTGAACCCTACGTGAGTGTGAGTGAGCAACCCCCAACCCGTCTCTACCAGGAGTGCCAAGCACTGATGTATATGTATGGACCTGTGTGTATGTATATGTATGGATCTGTGTGCATGTATGATCTCGTGTAAACATGTGTATGTGGTGCGTATGCGTGATGAGTGTATATGTGCCTGTGTGCACATATGTAAATGCTCTCTGTACACACACATATGTACCTGTGTGTACATGTATGTGTTAGTATGTGTATTTGTTTATTTCTTCCTATAAGTTCAACAAAACATATTGATATTTAAAATGAAAGTTATTACCAATAATCTTTCCAAACTCCTTTAGCACAATGTTGTGAAGATGCACAACACTCTTGGAGTCATAACTGTGTAATCTGCCTTCATTTAATGTGTAAATGTCAAAGATTTGTTGTGTAGTCAAGGTGATATGTTTCCAAGTCTAGATATAAAACTGGTCTAACATGGAGGGGTTCCCAAATGGTCTTTTAATAAGATAAATATTAAATATTATATTTATCTTTTCAATCGTCGTTTTCAAACTACAATACTGTACTATATTAAACTTTGTGTGTACACAAACTGTAACTCTCTACATATTTTTCGTTTTGAAACGAGTATGGTTCACGTATCTGAAACCTACAAGGAATTCAAGCAGCGACAAGCCATTCGATCCTTATATACATTTGTTTCTCGTAGTTAACTCTAAACTTCAGGGGTGTAAACCCCTTCGTCCTCCAGCAAGTTGACAAATGAGGCCACTCTCTTCCGGGAGTCAACTCCCTTCATCACCCGCATCGAGTCCAGCAGCCCCAGCAACTTCTTCAACCCTACGAAGATCTTCCCGTGGCAAATATGACTCATTATTGAATCAATCTGAAAAAAATATATTATTTATACATATTTTTTTTAAACTAGAAGGGGTACCCACCTCTGGTGCAAGTGTAATTTATATAACCTATATAAACTTTTTCTGCTACCTATATATATATATATATATATATATATATTATATATATATATATATATATATATATATAATTACTAATGACAGGTAAGTACACACACTATACGTACACACGTCTCAGTCTTATCAGTATCTGGTTCTTAAACTTTCTTACATTACGTTAGGTAATTTAACTAATTTTTAAACTAAAATATTACATATGCTTACAGCAATGTCGATACAAAAACTAGTCCCATTTTTACTAATAGTGTGGAGTGAGGCGTACTTACTTCATCTGAAGTTAGTGCTTGAGACTCCTCAAGGACGAGCTTGACGTCGTCCTGGTGTTGGATGTACGGAACTCTTAACACTGCCGTGAACACTGACAGCAGACCCAGTTCTTCCAGGACATTTCGACGCTTAGAAGTACAGATAACGAGCAGCTTACGACCCTTAGGGGGGGAAGATGAGAGAAGCGAGTACATGGCGTCCAGGACAATAGACTGGTACCGGGGACCAATAGGTGAGTAGCCCATTAAGTGTTCCAGATCGTTCATAAAGATGCAGCTTAGTTCTGAGCGGTAAGCATCGTCAAATATTCTGTTAATCCGTAAGCACTTGGAGGACTCCATAAACCCAACCATCTCACGAGAATTGATAACCTTGATAAAGGGAAATTCAGAGTTCTTTGCCAGGTATGCTGCCAGTGCTGATGTTCCAGCTGTCGGGGCTCCTTCCAGCAGTAAACAAAGACGGCTGCTTGTTTCTGGAGAGCGCGCCTGCTTCACGAACATCATGCCCTTCTCAACCAGGTCTCTCGTAGGTCCCCAGTTAATAATTCCTCGCTCGATAAACTTGGAGAGTGCCTCATCACTTGTACCCAGTGATGGTTTGACGTCATTTTCAAGGGAATATATAAAGTCAGATCGTGTTATCTTAAGTTTATCAATTGCATTAGGATCGACTTCAATTTTGTTCCCCAGGTGAATATACCTCTTCAGTGCAGAGGACGAAGCAGCTTTCACAAGACCTTCAAGTTCAGCACCAGAAAAGTTTTTGGTGAGAGACGCAATCTCTGCTAAGTCAACGTCGCGGTCAAGTTTGTTATGCTCGATCATTTTGTGTGTTTTGATCTTGAGGATATCAAACCGACCCTGCTCGTCTGGGAGACTAATTTCTACCTGAATTTCCAATCTGCCAGGTCTGAGCAAGGCGTCATCCATCATATCCTTTCTGTTGGTCATGCCAATCACAAGAATATTATTCAGCTGCTCCACACCGTCAATCTTTGATAGGAGTTGATTAACAACCGTGTCATTCACGCCAGTATTGCCAGCAACGGAACCTCTTTGCTTGCAAATAGCATCAATCTCATCAAAAATGATAATGTGCAAACCAGAGTTTGGCCCCATCCGCTTCTCTTCTTCCTCAGCATCAGCAAACAGCCGCCGAACGTTGGCTTCTGACTCTCCCACATACTTGTCTAATATTTCTGGACCATTAACAATTTTGGGTTCTCGAGCGTTGAGCATTTTTCCTATTTGGCGCGCCATCAGAGTCTTACCAGTTCCTGCAACAACAAATAATTGGAAAGTAAGTTTCAGTTTACAAGGTAAAGCGCAAGCACAAATGTAAAACATTTACACCGTTTAACAATTAAACATACGTATATACAAACGAAAATGATTTACACAAAGCTTTCAATGACAAATCTTGTTTCATAATATTAATGTTATAATTCATAATAATTCATTTTACCTGAATTTACCTGAGAGCCACTAATACTAGTGGCCTCGATGAGGACAGGAAGCCGGCAGCTTGTCAAAGGTCCCCCCATTTGCCCTGATGATCTTTTCCAGCTGAATTTTAAAACAGAGTTTAATAATTTTGTCAGGTGACAGGCAGCCAGTGACCCCCATCCATTCCAGGAGGCAACCCAACGTCACGCTGACTAACCCCTGGCTACCTATTTACTGCTAGGTGAACACGGCATTAGGTGATTGGAAACGCGCCCAACCATTTCTGTCCCGCCCAAGATTCGAACCCGGAATTCCGAATTATGAGTCGAGAACGAACCCGACTGTATTGAATAGAATATATACGAATAATATAATGACTTATCATACTGTTATGTCTTTCTTCTGACACGATCAATAAGTGGGGAGTGTGAGCTCTTACAGTATGATGTTGGGGTCTCACCAGCCAGACCCCCCGGGCCACCTGGTCCACCAGCCAGACCCCCCGGGCCACCTGGTCCACCAGCCAGACCCCCCGGGCCACCTGGTCCACCAGCCAGACCCCCGGGCCACCTGGTCCACCAGCCAGACCCCCGGGCCACCTGCTCCACTAGGGAGACCCCCCGGGCCACCTGCTCCACCAGCCAGACCCCCGGGCCACCTGCCACCAGCCAGACCCCCCGGGCCACCTGGTCCACTCCCCCCGGGACACAGGGAGACCCCCCGGGCCACCTGGTCCACCAGCCCCCCCGGGCCACCTGCCACCAGCCAGACCCCCGGGCCACCTGCTCCACTTGGGAGACCCCCCGGGACACCTGGTCTACTAGGGAGACCCCCCGGGCCACCTGGTCCACCAGCCAGACCCCCGGGCCACCTGGTCCACCAGCCAGACCCCCCGGGCCACCTGCTCCACTTGGGAGACCCCCCGGGCCACCTGGTCCACTAGGGAGACCCCCGGGCCACCTGGTCCACCAGCCAGACCCCCCGGGCCACCTGGCCCACCAGGGAGACCCCCGGGCCACCTGGTCCACTAGGGAGACCCCCCGGGCCACCTGCTCCACTAGGGAGACCCCCGGGCCACCTGATCCACCAGCCAGACCCCCCGGGCCACCTGGTCCACCAGCCAGACCCCCCGGGCCACCTGGTCCACCAGCTGCTCCACTAGGGAGACCCCCGGGCCACCTGCTCCACTAGGGAGACCCCCCGGGCCAGCTGGTCCACTAGGGAGACCCCCCGGGCCACCTGCTCCACTAGGGAGACCCCCCGGGCCACCTGCTCCACTTGGGAGACCCCCCGGGCCACCTGCTCCACTTGGGAGACCCCCCGGGCCACCTGCTCCACTTGGGAGACCCCCGGGCCACCTGCTCCACTAGGGAGACCCCCCGAACCACCTGCTCCACTTGGGAGACCCCCCGAACCACCTGCTCCACTTGGGAGACCCCCCGGGCCACCTGCTCCACTTGGGAGACCCCCCGGGCCACCTGCTCCACTTGGGAGACCCCCCGGGCCACCTGCCCCACTTGGGAGACCCCCCGAACCACCTGCTCCACTTGGGAGACCCCCGGGCCACCTGCTCCACTAGGGAGACCCCCCGAACCACCTGCTCCACTTGGGAGACCCCCCGGGCCACCTGGTCCACTAGGGAGACCCCCCGGGCCACCTGCTCCACTTGGGAGACCCCCGAACCACCTGCTCCACTTGGGAGACCCCCCGGGCCACCTGCTCCACTTGGGAGACCCCCCGGGCCACCTGCTCCACTTGGGAGACCCCCCGGGCCACCTGCTCCACTTGGGAGACCCCCCGGGCCACCTGGTCCACCAGCCAGACCCCCCGGGCCACCTGGCCCACTAGGGAGACCCCCCGAACCACCTGCTCCACTTGGGAGACCCCCCGGGCCACCTGCTCCACTTGGCCCCCGGGCCACCTGCTCCACTTGGGAGACCCCCCCGGGCCACCTGCTCCACTTGGGAGACCCCCCCGGGCCACCTGCTCCACTTGGGAGACCCCCCGGGACACCTGGTCTACTAGGGAGACCCCCCGAACCACCTGGCCCACTAGGGAGACCCCCCGGGCCACCTGGCCCACTAGGGAGACCCCCCGGGCCACCTGGCCCACTAGGGAGACCCCCCGGGCCACCTGGTCCACTAGGGAGACCCCCGGGCCACCTGGCCCACTAGGGAGACCCCCCGGGCCACCTGGCCCACTAGGGAGATCCCCCGGGCCACCTGGCCCACTAGGGAGACCCCCCGGGCCAGCTGGACCACTAGGGAGACCCCCCGGGCCACCTGGTCCACTAGGGAGACCCCCGGGCCACCTGGTCCACTAGGGAGACCCCCGGGCCACCTGGTCCACTAGGGAGACCCCCGGGCCACCTGGCCCACTAGGGAGACCCCCGGGCCACCTGGTCCACTAGGGAGACCCCCGGGCCACCTGGCCCACTAGGGAGACCCCCGGGCCACCTGGTCCACTAGGGAGACCCCCGGGCCACCTGGTCCACTAGGGAGACCCCCGGGCCACCTGGTCCACTTTGGAGACCCCCGGGCCACCTGCTCCACTTGGGAGACCCCCGGGCCACCTGGTCCACTAGGGAGACCCCCCGGGCCACCTGCTCCACTTGGGAGACCCCCGGGCCACCTGCTCCACTTGGGAGACCCCCGGGCCACCTGCTCCACTTGGGAAACCCCCGGGCCACCTGGTCCACTAGGGAGACCCCCCGGGCCACCTGCTCCACTAGGGAGACCCCCCGGGCCACCTGGTCCACTAGGGAGACCCCCCGGGCCACCTGGTCCACTAGGGAGACCCCCGGGCCACCTGCTCCACTAGGGAGACCCCCCGGGCCACCTGCTCCACTTGGGAGACCCCCCGGGCCACCTGGCCCACTAGGGAGACCCCCGGGCCAGCTGGTCCACTAGGGAGACCCCCCGGGCCACCTGGTCTACTAGGGAGACCCCCCGGGCCAGCTGGTCCACCAGCCAGACCCCCCGGGACACCTGCTCCACTTGGGAGACCCCCCCGGGCCACCTGGTCCACCAGCCAGACCCCCGGGCCACCTGCTCCACTAGGGAGACCCCCCGGGCCACCTGCTCCACTAGGGAGACCCCCCGGGCCACCTGCTCCACTTGGGAGACCCCCCTGGCCACCTGGCCCACTAGGGAGACCCCCCCGGGCCACCTGCTCCACTTGGGAGACCCCCGGGCCACCTGGTCCACTAGGAAGACCCCCCGGGCCACCTGCTCCACTAAGGAGACCCCCCGGGCCACCTGGCCCACTAGGGAGACCCCCCCGGGCCACCTGGTCCACTAGGGAGACCCCCGGGCCACCTGGCCCACTAGGGAGACCCCCCGGGCCACCTGGTCCACTAGGGAGACCCCCGGGCCACCTGGCCCACTAGGGAGACCCCCGGGCCACCTGCTCCACTAGGGAGACCCCCCCGGGCCACCTGGTCCACTTGGGAGACCCCCCGGGACACCTGGTCCACTAGGGAGACCCCCCGGGCCACCTGGCCCACTAGGGAGACCCCCGGGCCACCTGGCCCACTAGGGAGACCCCCCCCCGGGCCAGCTGGTCCACCACCGAGACCCCCGGAACCACTGGTCCACTACCTTGGGTACTGTATTCGCCTTTGAATACATTTTTGGGTCTAAGCAGAGTGGAGCGTCCGCCCCTGACTACTTATAGTGTCCAATGATAATGTGTATGACATGGGTCTGTGGTTGCAACAATAACAATAAGAGCTTTAAGAGGAGTGATGATCCCACCTGGAGGTCCGTAGAGCAGGAGTCCCTTGACGTGTTTGACCCCCAACTGTTCCGTCACTTCCGGTGGGAAGACTCGCGAGGCGAAAGCTCTCCTTAAGATGTGGATGAACTGCTCATCCAGACCACCAATACCCATCTTCTGGAAGTCCCAGTCAGCGGAGAAGAGGCTCGTGTGTGCTGAACGGGCCTGAAACATCACAGTTATTATGCAGACACAGTCACCATGACGTGGCTGGACACAGCCAAGCCCACATGTGTGACGTGGCTGGACACAGCCAAGCCCACATGTGTGACGTGGCTGGACACAGCCAAGCCCACATGTGTGACGTGGCTGGACACAGCCAAGCCCACACATGTGACGTGGCTGGACACAGCCAAGCCCACATGTGTGACGTGGCTGGACACAGCCAAGCCCACATGTGTGACGTGGCTGGACACAGCCAAGCCCACACATGTGACGTGGCTGGACACAGCCAAGCCCACACATGTGACGTGGTAGTGGCCAGGGTTGGGTCCGTCCTGGACCCTCGTCAGGTGGTTACTACTTCATAACCGTCCAGGACGGACTGCACCGTTGTTACTGTCCTTAACTGTCATATGTGTGGGTTAGTGTTATTATGTTTGACATGGGAGAAATAATACTTGATTAGTTATATGATAACTGATAACCGAGAAGGAAATAAAAACTGGATTTTGTTAGAACCCTTTCGTGCATATTTTAACACATCCTCATATGCACTACACAAGGTATGAGAGACAGAATTTACCCACAAGATCATGACTGAAGATACAGGGTGGAGCGCATATGGATGTAGTAGTACAGACAATTACTACTATCCAGAGTAGTGTTTACTACTATCCAATTACTACTGTTACCAATATGAAATGTGACATGAAATACTATTCATATACACGCTTCTGTTGCTTGTATTACAGCGGGTTCTATAGTGTTCCAATTCCTTAAACAGTTACATGTGGTGATACAAGAAGGCTCAGCCCTGCCAACTTGGTGTGAATTATTTGATAAATGTACAAATAGAGCATTTAAATTTTGGCCAGTTATAATGATCTTGAGAAATTCTAGACTTCAAGTCTCACACTTTACAAACTGCTTTATAAATGACTGTCTCACTCAGAAGGCTGTTCCTAACTAACACAAAATTCCAGTAGTTTTCATAACTTTATCCCACGTACGAATCAACCAATGTTTTCATATCCATCAAAATATGGCAAACACATTATTAGAATTAGTCGCTCAGCTGATATTGGTGTTGTACTGTTATGTCTGAGATCACAAGTCTGCAAGAAGAGGAGAGCCAAGCTCAGAACAAAGACCACCAATAATTTCAAACACTTCGTCAAGAAATTCAGAACTACCAACTTTTTCTCAAATTTCATGCATGAGTTTTACAACTGAGACCATTGTTCCTACAGCCGGACACATCCTCACACCGACGCCATCAATAACGCGATAAAAGGCTTTATGCTTAAGGTTAACCTTTGGTCAGATATTGTTGTGCTGAAACCCAAGCAACAGTGGTCAGACTCGTCCTTACCATCCTGGGTCGTGATAGTGTCTTGCAGATGCAATAAAGATCAACTACTGTTCAACATATGGGTCGTACGCAGGTCATACCAGTAAGGGAAGGAAGACCATGTTGTATAACACTGGTCAACGAGAACCGTAATAGTTTTGAAAATGTACAAAGTTGATATAGAAGCATAAAAGTGGCTCTCATAAAAAAAGGAAGTCTGGTTAAAGGAATTGTGTGGTGTCCTGGTGGACTCCCAACCCAGTGACTGTGGTGGACTCCCAACACAGTGACTGCGGTGGACTCCCAACACAGTGACTGCGGTTGACTCCCAACCCAGTGACTGCGGTGGACTCCCTACCCAGTGACTGTGGTGGACTCCCAACCCAGTGACTGCGGTGGACTCCCAACACAGTGACTGCGGTTGACTCCCAACCCAGTGACTGCGGTGGACTCCCTACCCAGTGACTGTGGTGGACTCCCTACCCAGTGACTGCGGTGGACTCCCAACCCAGTGACTGTGGTGGACTCCCAACCCAGTGACTGCGGTGGACTCCCTACCCAGTGACTGTGGTGGACTCCCAACACAGTGACTGCGGTGGACTCCCAACCCAGTGACTGCGGTGGACTCCCTACCCAGTGACTGCGGTGGACTCCCTACCCAGTGACTGTGGTGGACTCCCAACACAGTGACTGTGGTGGACTCCCAACACAGTGACTGCGGTTGACTCCCAACCCAGTGACTGCGGTGGACTCCCTACCCAGTGACTGTGGTGGACTCCCAACCCAGTGACTGTGGTGGACTCCCAACACAGTGACTGTGGTGGACTCCCAACCCAGTGACTGCGGTGGACTCCCAACCCAGTGACTGTGGTGGACTCCCCACCCAGTGACTGTGGTGGACTCCCAACCCAGTGACTGTGGTGGACTCCCAACCCAGTGACTGTGGTGGACTCCCAACCCAGTGACTGTGGTGGACTCCCAACCCAGTGACTGTGGTGGACTCCCAACCCCGTGACTGCGGTGGACTCCCTACCCAGTGACTGTGGTGGACTCCCAACCCAGTGACTGTGGTGGACTCCCAACCCAGTGACTGCGGTGGACTCCCAACCCAGTGACTGCGGTGGACTCCCTACCCAGTGACTGTGGTGGACTCCCTACCCAGTGACTGCGGTGGACTCCCTACCCAGTGACTGCGGTGGACTCCCTACCCAGTGACTGCGGTGGACTCCCAACCCCGTGACTGTGGTGGACTCCCTACCCAGTGACTGCGGTGGACTCCCTACCCAGTGACTGCGGTGGACTCCCAACCCAGTGACTGCGGTGGACTCCCTACCCAGTGACTGTGGTGGACTCCCTACCCAGTGACTGTGGTGGACTCCCTACCCAGTGACTGTGGTGGACTCCCTACCCAGTGACTGCGGTGGACTCCCAACCCAGTGACTGCGGTGGACTCCCTACCCAGTGACTGTGGTGGACTCCCAACCCAGTGACTGCGGTGGACTCCCAACCCAGTGACTGCGGTGGACTCCCAACCCAGTGACTGCGGTGGACTCCCTACCCAGTGACTGTGGTGGACTCCCAACCCAGTGACCGTATAGTCCTGGTGGAGAGTCAGGATACAACTGCTGCCCTGAGCGATGCCTTGTTAGCTAACATAAGATATTTGACAATATGCTCAGTTTGTTTACCTTTGCTTTTCCTGTGAGGATAAGGAAGGATCCTTCACTCTTTTCGAAAATAATTGAGGAATTTGCCTGAAGAACTCCGAAGTCGATCTTGCGCGGTTCTCTCTTCTTCCCCGAGGCAACAGCTTCTGGGTCGGCAGCTGTAAAAATATACAAGGTGCTTACAAAAATTGATATCATTTGCGATGTAAATATCTGAGTAACTACATAGTCTAGGCAAATGAAACTAAACAGGTTGAAACAAAACAGGCTTAATGTTGAACAAAATAAGATTTATTCATGAAAATTTGAATGAGAAATTCAAAGGTATGAGGATGTCACGAAGGATTTCACAGGTTTTCAATATGCGCGCCGCCTGTGACGTGGTCGACATGAGGTGGGTAGTCCAGCTGCTGCTGCCACACCCTTGTAGCGTGTCTTGTGTAAGTCTCCAGGGCAGCAGTGATGCTCTGCTGGAGTTGCTCCACACGTGTAGGAAGAGGGAGGACATAGACCAGTCCCTTCATGTTGCACCAGAGGAAAAATGGCAAGGTGTGAGGACAGGTGAACACGACGGCCATTTCAACAGCACATTGTCTTCATCACCAGCACGCCGGATCCAGCCTCCTGGCACATCCTCACTGAGATAAGCCCACAGCGTGAGCTTCCAGGGAGGTGGAGCCCCGCCCTGCTGAAGACAAATTATGTATTCATGTTCATTTGCAAAGAGCTCATCAATTAGCCAGTTGTGAAGCACGTGTCGACAACATCGCCGGTCACATTTCTCTCAAAGACAACCAATCATAAAGATGATTCTTGGAGATGGCACAAAACACATTCACTTTTGTAGAGTCCCTCGTGTGCTCAACTGTGGCGCGGGGATTTTCTTCGTTCGCCAAAAGCGAACATTATACTTCGTGACTTTACCATTCATATGAAATGTGGCCTCATCATTGAACAAGACGTTGTTCAAACTCGTCTTCAAGTTTCTCCTGCATATCAACACAGATTTGCTTGCGCTTTTGCTCGTCATCTGTCTTTAAGGCACGAACGAGCTGCAGCTTGTAGGGGTGTCATTAGCAAGCGCTTCTCTGCGATGCACCAAACTGTTGTTGGAGGAATCTGGGTATCCAGACTTGCTCTTATGGACTTCCTGGGACTTCGCAAAAATGTTTCTGGAACCCGCTCGACCAACCCTTCCGGTACTGGTGGTCGTTCAGTGAGGTCGTTCACATCCTTCTGCCCCGCACACACAGCCTTCCTCACTGAACCTTTTGTGCCGTGTCCAAATTTGCATTGCAGTTGGTGCATTTTAAGTGAATTCTCTCACAAATGCACGCTGCTCAGTCTTGTTCGCCTGTGTCCGAGCACACTAACACGCAAAACCCTTTACTTTTCCAGTGAATGCCATTTCTATACCTGAGGAAAAAACATTAAACATAACATTTTGAGTCGTTTCTACACATGCTGTTAGTATTTGAGATCATTGGAACGATAATTGGCCAAGATATTGATTGAGAAATTATATAAATTTTTCTTAAACACACAGCTGGTCACTTGTTAAATTAGTGTAGTGTGACATAGGAGATCCTCTTAGGTCACGTTGATAAGTGTGACCATCTCAGTGTTCATATTGTCTTTACTGTACACCTTCCACATGCAACATTCCCCATTACATTAAGTGTGTTTTCATATCTTGGAGATTTCTCAATGATTTCCCTAATAATATTATAAATGGAATTTGTGTCATAGCGAGCTCAAAGAGGGAACTTTAATGCTGTGAACTATCACTGGTCTTTTGATCACCCCTGAACTACAGTGAGGTAGTCTCCAGTGACCCCTGAACTACAGTGAGGTAGTCTCCAGTGACCCCTGAACTACAGTGAGGTAGTCTCCAGTGACCCCTGAACTACAGCGAGGTAGTCTCCAGTGACCTCTGAACTACAGCGAGGTAGTCTCCAGTGACCTCTGAACTACAGCGAGGTAGTCTCCAGTGACCTCTGAACTACAGCGAGGTAGTCTCCAGTGACCTCTGAACTAGTGAGGTAGTCTCCAGTGACCCCTGAACTACAGCGAGGTAGTCTCCAGTGACCTCTGAACTACACCGAGGTAGTCTCCAGTGACCTCTGAACTACACCGAGGACGACTTCAATGTCCTGGATCGATAGGACCTCGATCCAGGACACATCGATATCCAGGATCAGCTTGGATCACAGTCTCACAGTCTCTCTCAGGACTAGAGACTGGCCCCTCAGCTTACTCCTCTCCTCACTAAAATGTCTCACTTTCGAAGCAGTATGACAACACTATCATACACTTTTATATTAAAGTTTAGTGATGTGTCTTCCAGGTGTTCTCCCACCACCACATCTCTGACGCCTCCTGCCACTGTCACACCGTCACAGACGCCTCCTGCCACTGTCACACCGTCACAGACGCCTCCTGTCACTGTCACACCGTCACAGACGCCTCCTGCTACTGTCACACTGTCACAGACGCCTCCTGCCACTGTCACACCGTCACAGACGCCTCCTGCCACTGTCACACCGTCACAGACGCCTCCTGCCACTGTCACACCGTCACAGACGCCTCCTGTCACTGTCACACCGTCACAGACGCCTCCTGTCACTGTCACACCGTCACAGACGCCTCCTGTCACTGTCACACCGTCACAGACGCCTCCTGCTACTGTCACACCGTCACAGACGCCTCCTGCCACTGTCACACCGTCACAGACGCCTCCTGCTACTGTCACACCGTCACAGACGCCTCCTGCTACTGTCACACCGTCACAGACGCCTCCTGCCACTGTCACACCGTCACAGACGCCTCCTGCTACTGTCACACCGTCACAGACGCCTCCTGCCACTGTCACACCGTCACAGACGCCTCCTGCCACTGTCACACCGTCACAGACGCCTCCTGTCACTGTCACACTGTCACAGACGCCTCCTGTCACACCGTCACAGACGCCTCCTGTCACTGTCACACCGTCACAGACGCCTCCTGTCACTGTCACACCGTCACAGACTCCTCCTGTCACTGTCACACTGTCACAGACGCCTCCTGTCACACCGTCACAGACGCCTCCTGCCACTGTTACACCGTCACAGACGCCTCCTGTCACTGTCACACCGTCACAGACGCCTCCTGTCACTGTCACACCGTCACAGACTCCTCCTGTCACTGTCACAGACGCCTCCTGTCACTGTCACACCGTCACAGACGCCTCCTGTCACTGTTACACCGTCACAGACGCCTCCTGTCACTGTCACACCGTCACAGACGCCTCCTGTCACTGTTACACCGTCACAGACGCCTCCTGTCACTGTTACACCGTCACAGACGCCTCCTGTCACTGTCACACCGTCACAGACGCCTCCTGTCACTGTTACACCGTCACAGACGCCTCCTGTCACTGTTACACCGTCACAGACGCCTCCTGCTACTGTTACACCGTCACAGACGCCTCCTGTCACTGTTACACCGTCACAGACGCCTCCTGCCACTGTTACACCGTCACAGACGCCTCCTGTCACTGTTACACCGTCACAGACGCCTCCTGTCACTGTTACACCGTCACAGACGCCTCCTGCTACTGTCACACCGTCACAGACGCCTCCTGTCACTGTTACACTGTCACAGACGCCTCCTGTCACTGTCACACCGTCACAGACTCCTCCTGTCACTGTCACACTGTCACAGACGCCTCCTGTCACACCGTCACAGACGCCTCCTGCCACTGTTACACCGTCACAGACGCCTCCTGTCACTGTCACACCGTCACAGACGCCTCCTGTCACTGTCACACCGTCACAGACTCCTCCTGTCACTGTCACAGACGCCTCCTGTCACTGTCACACCGTCACAGACGCCTCCTGTCACTGTTACACCGTCACAGACGCCTCCTGTCACTGTCACACCGTCACAGACGCCTCCTGTCACTGTTACACCGTCACAGACGCCTCCTGTCACTGTTACACCGTCACAGACGCCTCCTGCTACTGTTACACCGTCACAGACGCCTCCTGCTACTGTTACACCGTCACAGACGCCTCCTGCCACTGTCACACCGTCACAGACGCCTCCTGTCACTGTTACACCGTCACAGACGCCTCCTGTCACTGTCACAGACGCCTCCTGCCACTGTCACACCGTCACAGACGCCTGCTGCTACTGTCACACCGTCACAGACGCCTCCTGTCACACCGTCACAGACTCCTCCTGTCACTGTCACACCGTCACAGACGCCTCCTGTCACACCGTCACAGACTCCTCCTGTCACTGTCACACCGTCACAGACGCCTCCTGTCACTGTCACACTGTCACAGACGCCTCCTGTCACACCGTCACAGACGCCTCCTGTCACTGTCACACCGTCACAGACGCCTCCTGTCACTGTCACACCGTCACAGACTCCTCCTGTCACTGTCACACCGTCACAGACTCCTTCTGTCACTGTCACACCGTCACAGACGCCTCCTGTCACTGTCACAGACGCCTCCACACTAGACAAGAATTCAGTCTACCTGAAAAATAACATCTATTGTTCGCATCTTAAATTTCCCAAACCTTCAATTTCTTTGATGGTGAGAGAAAGCGTCTTCTTGTCTTGGAACTTGAAGACTATAGGCTGGCCGACGGTGAAGCCGTGCTTGGCGAAGTGCTCCATGAAGGCCATGGCCATCTGGTCGGTGTTGTAGGGGTCGTTGGTCGTGCTCTTCTTCTGCAGGAAGTCTGCCTCCAGCACCATCGTCCCGATGAGCTGCCTCTGCGGGTCGTGCACGTACGGCTCCACGCGGATCTGAGCCAATGGTCAATACGTTATATAATAAATCAACAAATATTTGGGTTCCCAAATAATTGAAAATTTAAAAAATTGATTATGGCAAAGGCAAAGTTACCGACAGAACGGAGCATAAATGGAAAATATCATACTCTCTTCACACTGTGCTTCAACACACACTGTACTCTCTTCACACAGTGTACCAACACACACTGTACTCTCTTCACACACTGTACCAACACACACTGTACTCTCCTCACACAGTGTACCAACACACACTGTACTCTCCTCACACACTGTACCAACACACACTGTACTCTCCTCACACACTGTACCAACACACACTGTACTCTCCTCACACACTGTACCAACACACACTGTACTCTCCTCACACAGTGTACCAACACACACTGTACTCTCCTCACACTGTACCAACACACACCGTAGTCTCCTCACACACTGTACCAACACACACTGTACCAACACACACCGTAGTCTCCCCACACAGTGTACCAACACACACCGTACTCTCCTCACACACTGTACCAACACACACTGTACCAACACACACCGTACTCTCCTCACACACTGTACCAACACACACTGTACCAACACACACCGTACTCTCCTCACACACTGTACCAACACACACCGTAGTCTCCTCACACACTGTACCAACACACACCGTACTCTCCCCACACACTGTACCAACACACACCGTAGTCTCCTCACCAACACACACCGTAGTCTCCTCACACACTGTACCAACACACACCGTAGTCTCCTCACACACTGTACCAACACACACCGTAGTCTCCTCACACACTGTACCAACACACACCGTAGTCTTCTCACACACTGTACCAACACACACCGTACTCTCCTCACACACTGTACCAACACACACCGTACTCTCCTCACACTGTTCCAACACACACCGTAGTCTCCTCACACACTGTACCAACACACACCGTAGTCTCCTCACACACTGTACCAACACACACCGTAGTCTCCTCACACACTGTACCAACACACACTGTACTCTCCCCACACACTGTACCAACACACACCGTAGTCTCCTCACACACTGTACCAACACACACCGTAGTCTCCTCACACACTGTACCAACACACACCGTAGTCTCCTCACACACTGTACCAACACACACCGTAGTCTCCTCACACACTGTACCAACACACACTGTACTCTCCCCACACACTGTACCAACACACACCGTAGTCTCCTCACACACTGTACCAACACACACCGTAGTCTCCTCACACACTGTACCAACACACACCGTAGTCTCCTCACACACTGTACCAACACACACCGTAGTCTCCTCACACACTGTTCCAACACACACCGTAGTCTCCTCACACACTGTACCAACACACACCGTAGTCTCCTCACACACTGTACCAACACACACCGTAGTCTCCTCACACACTGTACCAACACACACCGTAGTCTCCTCACACACTGTACCAACACACACCGTACTCTCCCCACACACTGTACCAACACACACTGTACCAACACACACCGTAGTCTCCCCACACACTGTACCAACACACACTGTACCAACACACACCGTAGTCTCCCCACACACTGTACCAACACACACCGTACTCTCCCCACACACTGTACCAACACACACTGTACTCTCCCCACACACTGTACCAACACACACTGTACTCTCCCCACACACTGTACCAACACACACTGTACCAACACACACTGTACCAACACACACCGTACTCTCCCCACACACTGTACCAACACACACCGTAGTCTCCTCACACACTGTACCAACACACACTGTACTCTCCCCACACACTGTACCAACACACACCGTAGTCTCCTCACACACTGTACCAACACACACCGTAGTCTCCTCACACACTGTACCAACACACACCGTAGTCTCCTCACACACTGTACCAACACACACCGTAGTCTCCCCACACACTGTACCAACACACACCGTAGTCTCCTCACACACTGTACCAACACACACCGTAGTCTCCTCACACACTGTACCAACACACACCGTAGTCTCCCCCACACACTGTACCAACACACACCGTAGTCTCCTCACACACCAACACACACGTAGTCTCCCCACACACTGTACCAACACACACCGTACTCTCCCCACACACTGTACCAACACACACCGTAGTCTCCCCACACACTGTACCAACACACACCGTAGTCTCCCCACACACTGTACCAACACACACCGTACTCTCCCCACACACTGTACCAACACACACCGTAGTCTCCCCACACACTGTACCAACACACACTGTACCAACACACACTGTACCAACACACACTGTACTCTCCTCACACAGTGTACCAACACACACTGTACTCTCCTCACACAGTGTACCAACACACACTGTACTCTCCTCACACAGTGTACCAACACACACTGTACTCTCCTCACACTGTACCAACACACACTGTACTCTCCTCACACAGTGTACCAACACACACTGTACTCTCCTCACACTGTACCAACACACACTGTACTCTCCTCACACAGTCTACCAACACACACCGTAGTCTCCCCACACAGTGTACCAACACACACCGTAGTCTCCTCACACACTGTACCAACACACACTGTTCCAACACACACCGTAGTCTCCTCACACACTGTACCAACACACACTGTACTCTCCCCACACACTGTACCAACACACACCGTAGTCTCCCCACACACTGTACCAACACACACTGTTCCAACACACACCGTAGTCTCCTCACACACTGTGCCAACACACACTGTACTCTCCTCACACTGTACCAACACACACCGTAGTCTCCTCACATAGTGTACCAACACACACTGTACCAACACACACCGTACTCTCCCCACACACTGTACCAACACACACCGTAGTCTCCTCACACACTGTGCCAACACACACTGTACTCTCCTCACACTGTACCAACACACACCGTAGTCTCCTCACATAGTGTACCAACACACACTGTGCCAACACACACCGTAGTCTCCCCACACACTGTACCAACACACACCGTACTCTCCCCACACAGTGTACCAACACACACCGTAGTCTCCCCACACACTGTACCAACACACACCGTACTCTCCCCACACACTGTACCAACACACACCGTACTCTCCCCACACACTGTACCAACACACACCGTACTCTCCCCACACAGTGTACCAACACACACCGTACTCCTTCCTGATCACTTCAGGTAATTACTCTCCTCTTCATATAAAACATTTGCAGGAAATAAAATACAGATTTGAACAAATCTAAAATATGACAACAAAAAATACGATACAAACTACTATTAAATATATAATATAAATCTGTCATGTGATGAGCTTTAAGCCAATTGAAGAACGGCTTAAGAATATTGCTTAACATCCTATGTTACAAGTATATAAACTAGTATTATTATTATTATTATTAAAGTGACATTTGTGTCACTTGTAATACTAGCTCACACTTTTATAAGTTTATAAATATTAAAGAGGAGGAAGGGAGGAGTAAGATGTAGTGTGCTTCTTACCTCTTGGTCCAAAGACAGCATCGCTTGTTTCCGATGGATGGCGTTGAAGCCCATGTGACCAGGCTTGACCCCTCGGTCATGTCTGATGGTGTAGATGAAGTGCTTCCCTTGGTCGTTAGTCACCTGGATGTACCTGGGGAGATTGTTATGCCATGGTTATGCCATGGTTATGCCTTGGTTATCTTCAGTGTCCTGATCTATTTCAACCCTTACTCAAGCCATGTTGTTTACATACATCCGCTTCCAAAGGTGTATTCGGTTATCTTCTTTGTACCGTCTAAACGAACACTGTCTTGTCTCAAACTGCTGTTATGATATACAATGTTTTTGTATGGTTGGGCCTAGGGTAGGTATGGTAGGTTAGGTGTTTTGGTTTGACTGGTAATTATTGATATTTACAGTATGTGAGTGAGACAACACGAGGCGTGGGCCAGTTGTGTCAGCAGGGAGGTGGGGCATCACCATGTCTGCCAGCCCAGAACTATGTTAATGTCTCCAGATATTTTAGGTCAAAATTTATCCAGTTTGAGGCTTTTGTTGCTTGAGGTCGAGCAACAGTGTTGTGATACATAACGCCAGGCAGGACACGTGTGTAGTGATACACCCCGCCAGGCAGGACACGTGTGTAGTGATACATCCCGCCAGGCAGGACACGTGTGTAGTGATACACCCCGCCAGGCAGGACACGTGTGTAGTGATACACCCCGCCAGGCAGGACACGTGTGTAGTGATACACCCCGCCAGGCAGGACATGTGTGTGTGTGTGTGTGTAGCCAGAGGTGTACCCCAGCTTCCAGGTGTATATACACCTAGACTTTACTAGAGTTGTGGACAATGTTGAGGATCACAGTACACTTGGTGGTTAGTGAACATGTTGTGTCGGCCTCCCGCGGCGCTGGAGAGACAGTCACTACACTACTCAACTCACCGGACCTTGAGAGGGAAGTCGTTCTCATTAACGATGACACAGTTGGTGAAGGACAGCTCCTCGTTGGGACACTTGGCTACCCTCATTACCTGCAAGACATCAAACTAAATCATTTCTATCAACTTCACGAATTTAAGAGTTAACAAAGTATATATATCTCTGTCTCTGACAAATTTGGTAATGTATGTGAAGTGAAACTTCATCCTCAGACATTGTTATCCACTCTACGACCCTCCACCAACCACCATAGTCCGAGGATGAGTTACAACTTGGTGCTCACTCATGCTGGTCCAAGCTGCGGTTGACCACAAACACATTCATAAACTTTACCACACTGTGCATTCAAAATTATTCTGTTTAATATATATTATCATTATTAAATATTAGGTTGTGTTGTAGAGTACTTGGGTGAAGCATTAAGAGAGGTGCGGGTTGGACAGGGAACTTTAACGACCCAATGTTCGAGAACAGTTCGATTATCAGTTGTGATTCGTGTGTAGTGTTTTTTATTCATGAACAGGGGTTTGGCGGCTGGATTAACAAGCATTTGGCCACAGTTGGTGAGGACGGGCTTGAAGTAGCCCGTCCTCATAACCAAGGCCAAATGGTGGGTATTGTAGTCTCCTGTTCATGAATAAAAATCACTTGAGAGACGAGGCCGGAGCTCAAGGAAGCCAGCAACAAGTTACCGGCCAGAACAATTCTCTTAAGAATCATAACTCTGCTACTCCCCCACACACTTCATCCGGGTCAACTGGTGTCACCCGCCAGTGTGCAGCGTCACCCTCACCGCTCATACTCCGGCACCCAGCTGAGTGGTGTCGGGAGAAGACTGGCAGAGAGGAAGTGATGCTCTCACACTGATGGCTCAGTAAACAAACCCAACAGTCTCGGAGTAGACACACTGAAAGGTTCTGAAGGTGAGGTGCCGCTCATACACTCCTCACACTCTATAATGATGCCCCCAAGACTTCCCCACCGGCTCCGTACCAACACAATCCCCCGCACCCTCCATACGCCCCTGTAATACACAACCCTCAGCTGCCCCCCCAGCCCCCGAGGGAACCATCCTCCCAGGTCCCAGGCCCGCGGGGGAGGTGACTGACAGCGGCGAGCAATCTGCCAGTAACACCCTCCAGCGGTTGGACAAAAAACTCTTGATTCTTACTAGCGTCCTCTTCCAGAATATTCCAAATATTCTTCAGTACAAAACACATTTAATGTTACTCAACACAAGATTGGTGTTTTGTGGCTCGAGAATAGTAAGGTGTGGAGACACGGACCGATTAATATACTGTGAGGGGCCCCTCTGGGGCTACAGGTACTGTGAGGGGTCCCCTGGGGCTACAGGTACTGTGAGGGGCCCCCTGGGGCTACAGGTACTGTGAGGGGCAAATTGAGGCTACAGGAACTGTGTGAGGGCCCCCTGGGGCTACAGGTACTGTGAGGGGCCCCCTGAGGCTACAGGAACTGTGTGAGGGCCCCCTGGGGCTACAGGTACTGTGACGGGCCCCCTGGGGCTACAGGTACTGTGACGGGACCCCTGGGGCTACAGGTACTGTGACGGGCCCCCTGGGGCTACAGGTACTGTGACGGGCCCCCTGGGGCTACAGGTACTGTGACGGGCCCCTTGGGGCTACAGGTACTGTGACGGGCCCCCTGGGGCTACAGGTACTGTGACGGGACCCCTGGGGCTACAGGTACTGTGACGGGACCCCTGGGGCTACAGGTACTGTGACGGGCCCCTTGGGGCTACAGGTACTGTGACGGGACCCCTGGGGCTACAGGTACTGTGACGGGACCCCTGGGGCTACAGGTACTGTGACGGGACCCCTGGGGCTACAGGTACTGTGACGGGCCCCCTGGGGCTACAGGTACTGTGACGGGCCCCCTGGGGCTACAGGTACTGTGACGGGACCCCTGGGGCTACAGGTACTGTGACGGGACCCCTGGGGCTACAGGTACTGTGACGGGCCCCTGGGGCTACAGGTACTGTGACGGGACCCCTGGGGCTACAGGTACTGTGACGGGACCCCTGGGGCTACAGGTACTGTGACGGGCCCCCTGGGGCTACAGGTACTGTGACGGGACCCCTGGGGCTACAGGTACTGTGACGGGCCCCCTGGGGCTACAGGTACTGTGACGGGACCCCTGGGGCTACAGGTACTGTGACGGGACCCCTGGGGCTACAGGTACTGTGACGGGACCCCTGGGGCTACAGGTACTGTGACGGGACCCCTGGGGATACAGGTACTGTGACGGGACCCCTGGGGCTACAGGTACTGTGACGGGCCCCCTGGGGCTACAGGTACTGTGACGGGACCCCTGGGGCTACAGATACTGTGACGGGCCCCCTGGGGCTACAGGTACTGTGACGGGACCCCTGGGGCTACAGATACTGTGACGGGACCCCTGGGGCTACAGGTACTGTGACGGGACCCCTGGGGCTACAGGTACTGTTGGCCTCCAGTAATAATTTCAAAAGGAAAATAAAGTTAAAGACAATTTAAATAGATTTCTACAAACATAACAATAATTCAAATCCAAACAATTGGTAGAAGTTGTCACCCTCCAGTAGGCCAGTAGGCCTAGTGCCGGGTTCCTTGATTGGTCCAGACGGCAAGACTGATGATGAGTGGCAGCAGGTGTGGGGCCTCTACTCTCCACACCCGCCAGTACCATGTATACAGTGACGTGTTAGGGTAGGGCACGCCAGGGGTGAGTGTGAGGCAGGCTCCACCATGCCAGGTGAGGTGTGAGGCAGGCTCCACCATGCCAGGTGAGGTGTGAGGCAGGCTCCACCATGCCAGGTGAGGTGTAAGGCAGGCACCACCATGCCAGGTAAGGTGTGAGGCAGGCTCCACCATGCCAGGTGAGGTGTGCGGCAGGCTCCACCATGCTAGGTGAGGTGTGAGGCAGGCTCCACCATGCTAGGTGAGGTGTGAGGCAGGCTCCACCATGCCAGGTGAGGTGTGAGGCAGGCTCCACTATGCTAGGTGAGGTGTGAGGCAGGCTCCACCATGCCAGGTGAGGCAGGCTCCACCATGCCAGGTGAGGCAGGCTCCACCATGCCAGGTGAGGCAGCCAGGTGAGGTGTGAGGCAGGCTCCACTATGCTCCACCATGCCAGGTGAGGCAAGCTCCACCATGCCAGGTGAGGCAGGCTCCACCATGCCAGGTGAGGCAGGCTCCACCATGCCAGGTGAGGTGTGAGGCAGGCTCCACCATGCCAGGTGAGGTGTGAGGCAGGCTCCACCATGCCAGGTGAGATGTGAGGCAGGCTCCACCATGCTAGGTGAGGTGTGAGGCAGGCTCCACCATGCTAGGTGAGGTGTGAGGCAGGCTCCACCATGCTAGGTGAGGTGTGAGGTAGGCTCCACTATGCTAGGTGAGGTGTGAGGCAGGCTCCACCATACCAGGTGAGGTGTGAGGCAGGCTCCACCATGCTAGGTGAGGTGTGAGGCAGGCTCCACCATGCCAGGTGAGGTGTGCGGCAGGCTCCACCATGCCAGGTGAGGTGTGAGGCAGGCTCCACCATGCCAGGTGAGGTGTGAGGCAGGCTCCACCATGCCAGGTGAGGTGTGAGGAAGGCACCACCATGCCAGGTGAGGTGTGAGGCAGGCTCCACCATGCTAGGTGAGGTGTGAGGCAGGCTCCACCATGCCAGGTGAGGTGTGAGGCAGGCTCCACCATGCCAGGTGAGGTGTGAGGCAGGCTCCACCATGCCAGGTGAGGTGTGAGGCAGGCTCCACCATGCCAGGTGAGGTGTGAGGCAGGCTCCACCATGCCAGGTGAGGGGTGAGGCAGGCTCCACCATGCCAGGTGAGGTGTGAGGCAGGCTCCACCATGCCAGGTGAGGTGTGAGGCAGGCTCCACCATGCCAGGTGAGGTGTGAGGCAGGCTCCACCATGCCAGGTGAGGTGTGAGGCAGGCTCCACCATGCTAGGTGAGGTGTGAGGCAGGCTCCACCATGCTAGGTGAGGTGTGAGGCAGGCTCCACCATGCCAGGTGAGGTGTGAGGAAGGCACCACCATGCCAGGTGAGGTGTGAGGCAGGCTCCACCATGCCAGGTGAGGTGTGAGGAAGGCACCACCATGCCAGGTGAGGTGTGAGGCAGGCTCCACCATGCTAGGTGAGGTGTGAGGCAGGCTCCACCATGCCAGGTGAGGTGTGAGGCAGGCTCCACCATGCTAGGTGAGGTGTGAGGCAGGCTCCACCATGCCTGGTGAGGTGTGAGGCAGGCTCCACCATGCCAGGTGAGGTGTGAGGCAGGCTCCACCATGCCAGGTGAGGTGTGAGGCAGGCTCCACCATGCCAGGTGAGGTGTGAGGCAGGCTCCACCATGCCAGGTGAGGGCCATACAGTCCTCAGCTCCCGCCTGCCTCACTCTCCACCCATAAGCTGACTATCAACTTTAAGCAGACAGATCAGTGTGACCCGAGTGAATAGTGGAGCACAGACAGCCCCAACACTGTTCACGACCCCCGTCCACCACCCCCAACACTGTTCACGACCCCCGTCCACCACCCCCAACACTGCTCACGACCCCCGTCCACCACCCCACTGCTCACGACACTGCTCACGACCACCGTCCTCCACCCCCAACACTGCTCACGACCACCGTCCACCACCCCCAACACTGCTCACGACCCCCGTCCACCACCCCCAACACTGCTCACGACCACCGTCCACCACCCCCAACACTGCTCACGACCACCGTCCACCACCCCCACCACACTGCTCACGACCACCGTCCACCACCCACGACCACCGTCCACCACCACTGTTCACGACCACCGTCCACCACCCCCACCACCACGACCACCGTCCGACCACCACCCCCAACACTGTTCACGACCACCGTCCACCACCCCAACACTGTTCACGACCCCTGTCCACCACCACCAACACTGTCCACCACCGTCCCAACCACTGTTCACGACCACCGTCCACCACCCCCAACACTGTTCACGACCCCGTCCACCACCCCCGTCCACCACCCCCAACAACACTGTTCACGACCCCCGTCCACCACCCCCAACACTGTTCACGACCCCCGTCCACCACCCCCAACACTGTTCACGACCACC